GGAGAATTTACACCTTGATTTGGGTGCTCTGGAAAGCTCCCCCAGCCCAGACTGAGCTTGCCTCCTTCCCAATTGTCAGGACAAAGTATGCAGAAAGCTCCCTTCCACCTCTCTCAGACTTCCTAAAAAGGTCAAGTAGCCCCAGAGTGAGGGGTACAGAAATGACTGGTGAACAGAAACCCCCATTTCCCACTTCGCCTGAGAAGAAGCTCCAGCGTGGCCCCAGATGCCATTTCTGCTTGTTCAAGTCCCTCAGTGCCAGGCCATGCCAGGCGCCTTCCCCTGCCAAGGAAGTCTTTCCTGTGGTGATATTGCACAAGGCCTGCAGCTGTTCTCTGACCAACCTCTGGGCTGGACATTAGAGCTGAAGCTTTGAGAAAAGAGGAAGCAGCCCCTGAGGCTGAATCTCTGCTTTTGGGGTGGTAGAGCCCTGGGGAGCCAGCAGCACCAAGAGCTCTTGGCCCTCCTTCCTGTTCTTCTCGCCTGTGGTTCACCAGCCTTGCAGCCACTTCCCTTGTGGAGCAGGTACTCCCATCCCTGGGCCTGGAGGGCGAGTGGAGGGTTGGGAGCGGGGCTGGACTGAGATTGGCTGGGGGACATCTGGATGTGGGTGCTGGACTCCAAGCCATCCCAAGCCCGAGACACTAATCGAAGCTGCACTCATAACCCAAACACCTTCATAGACCCAAATCTTCCCCAGCCCACATCCCAATCCGTCTTAACCACCGTCCTGATCCCTGCTCTGCCCAGCTCTGATCTCTGTTCCAATCCTACCTCCTTCAATTGTATCCCATCCCCAACCATTTACTAATTATCATCTCCACCCAGCTGCAACCCCGGCCTCACCCCTACCCCACAACCCCATCTCTCTCACCTCCTTGTCAACTCTAATTCCATTCCAAACCGCAGCCTAACCGTCACCTTCACCCCTGCCCAACTGCAGCCCAGCCTTCATTGTCCCCTCACTCTAAGTCCAATCCCACAGCACCTCATTTACCACCACTTCATTTATCTGAGCACAGGAACCCCAGCACCGTCTAGCATAACTCGGGGAATGAGTGCTCAGGCTAAGAGCATTTATAGCCAGATGAAAATGTGAAATTTCTACTGTCCATTTCAAAGCCGAGAGACCTCATTTATGGATTATGTGTCTTTCAGAGCTAAATGTTTGGGGCTTTCCACTATTGTGAAGATAATGTACTCCCAGAATTGCTTATCTGTACCCTAGCTGCCTATCTATGGGGCAGAGCATTCCAGCTGGCTGTCACCCTTACTTTTTTCCTTCTCCAGCCTGATAGGGAAGTTGGGGAGAAGCCCTGGTGTTAGGAAACAGAAACCGAATCCTACATAGCTGCCTAGAGTGAAATTACCTCTGACTTTTCTTCCCTAGGCCAGACTTGGTCTCTGGGATTAAAGGTCAGGGACCTGGGACGCTTTGCCACACATAGACTGTACCCACTCACTTGCTTTCATTCAGGCAGCAAACATAGGTGCCTGCCATGTACCAGGCCACCCCATCCCAACTCTCATGCAACATACACCATTTCTAGGTAAGAGTACGGATTTAAAATCCTGTCTTCAGACTGCCCAGGACTTGGGGATAGAAGAATGAATTTCAGAAACTTCCCGAAGTCTGCGGAACAATGCTCTCCCAAGTGGTCATTGCCTAAGGGTGGGTTGCTTCAGGGCTGTGGTGCTCCCTGTCCCCTAATACACCCACCCCCTTCCCCAAGACCTACAATCACCCCTCTACCACCAGGGGGTGCACGGTGCACACCAGGACAAGCAGCTCAACTCAAGCCTTCAACTCCAGGCTTTCAGAGACAATGGTCTCCTTTCTGGAGTCCTTCTTGCCCTTCCTTTTTCTAGGAAAGTTCTCTGGACTAAGGGTGGTCTTTGGGGTGGAACAGGCTGAGCCAATAAGCTGGATTCTGGTGTGACTGACCCCTTGGGTATTGGGACTGGGCTAAGTAAGTATACATGATGTGATTTTGAGTGATTCTAGAGAGGGTCCTCCCACATGTTCCAAAAATCCCTGCTCCATTCTGGGGTTGGTATGGCACCATTTCTCCACCATTAAGCTCAGCATCGCTGTTTTCAGGGCCCCAAATGGGAGCAGCAGGGAAGCTGGGGACGACAAACGTATATCTTGCGGATATCCCAGTTATAGAAGATTTGACCCTGATGCACAGTGTGGCTCTGGGCTCCAGGGCCACACCTGCCCCCACCCATGCACAGTGGGCTGTCATTCAGTCCAGCATTCAGGTCATGAGTCACAGCCTAGGCCAGCATGAGCCTCTCTTGTGGCCAAAGACCAGGTGTAGAGGGTATGGATACATCTTTCCGGGACAGGAGCAGGCTTAGGACTGGACCCTGGTGTCTGCTCAGCCCACATGATAGCCACCAGCACCAGCTGGGCCCCACCTGTGAAGCTGATGGTCTGGGGGCTGGGAGTTGTCACCAGTTTCCTGTCCCCACTTCCAGCCTCCCCAGGCCTTCCCCCTCACTCTGCCAAGTCAGCATTTAAGACCAGGGAGGATTGCAAAGTTGGCAACATGGGTCTTTGAATGTGTGTGTGGCAAAATATACATAACATAAAATTTACTGTTTTAATCATTCTTAGGTGTACAATTCACTGGCATTATGTACATTCACAATATTGTGTAACCATCACCACTGCCTGTTTCCAGCACTTTCTCATCTTCTAAAATAGACTCTTTACCCATTAAACATCCCTTTCCTTCCCTCCCTCCAGCGTCTGGCAACCTCTATTTTCCTTTCTGTCTCTATGAATTTGCCTTTTCTAGGTACCACATATAAGTGGAATCATACAATATTGACCCTTTTGGTCTGCCTGACTTCACTTAGCATAACGTTTTCAAGGTTTATCCACGTTGTAACATGTGTCGGAATTTTACTCCTTCTTATGACTAAATAATATTCTATTATATGAGTTTACCATATTTTTTTATCCATTCATTTGCTGGTGGACACTTGGTTGTTTCCACTTTTTGGCTATTGTGAATAACACTGCCATGAACCTGGGCATACGAGTATCTGTTTGAGTTCCTGTTTTCAATTCTTTTGGATATATACCTAGAAGTGGAGTTGCCGGATCATACAGTAATCTACATCTGAATTTTTGAGGAACCACCCAACTGTTTTTCACAGGGGCTGTGCCATTTTACATTCCTACCGACAGTGCACTGAGCTTGTAATTTCTCCATAATCTCTCCAACTTTTATTTTCTGGCTTCGTTTGTTTTTTAATGGCCATTCTAATGGGTTGTATCTCATTTTGGTTGTGATTTGCATTTCCCTAATGACTAATGATGCTGAGCATCTTTTCATGGGCTTATTTGCTATTTTATATCATCTTTACAGAAATGTCTATTCCAGTCCTTAGCCCATTTTGTGAATTTGGGTTGTTTGGGTTTTTTGTTGTTGTTGAGTTACAGTAGTTTTTCATGTACATACTTATTTATATATATTTATATGTATATCAATCCCTTATGTATGATATTAATCCCAGATATATGAGTTGCAAATATTTTCTCCCATTCTGTGGTTTGTCTTTTCATTCTCTTAATAGTGTCTGTTGATGCACAAAGTTTTTAACTTTGATTAAGTCTAATTTATCTATTTTTTTCTTTGTTGCTTGTAATTTTGGTGTCATTCTATAGAAATCATTGCCGAATCTTAGGTCATGAAGATTTTCACCCATATTTTCTTCTAACAGTTTTGTAGTTTTACTTATGTGTGTTTCTGCCACCTTCTAACAGTTTTGTAGTTTTGTAGTTTTTTCTTCTAACAGTTTTGTAGTTTTATTTATGTGTGTTTCTGCCACCTCTCCCCTTCAGATTCATATCTATGGCACCCCTTAAAGCCCCCATCCCCATGAGGTACACTCCATGGCAGAGGGTCTGACTTCTTATGCCTGGTATACTGTAGACAATTAACTCATGTTTGTGGGATATGTGTTGTCCAGGGCCCTTATTCCTCCTGTCACACCTAAACTCACCCTGCCACCAGCTCTAAACCCCAAGGACCACACCTGTCTCTTACCCACTGCTTTAAGGCCAGGGGAGCTCTGCACTGCTGTAGGTCACATGTCCCCAGTCCCAGGCCCTGAGAAATGGGTGCTCACAAGCTGCCAAGGACAAGTCAAGCAGAGCTGGCTCTGGGGTGGCTACAGGAACCCCAAAGGGGAAGTTCTAGCTAGAAACTACCTTCAAGCTGCACCTTGAAGACTGACTAAGG